GTAGAAACATCGTAGCCTTAGCGGACTGGTTCGTCAATGTAGACCGGACTGATAAAAAAGCCTAGAATAAACCTGAATTTCCGCAAGTCATTTGATCAACATGAAAGAGACCTACTCATTTACTTCTATGAACAGAAAGTCAGACTCAGACGGTATCAAGGAAGAGGCAGAGACAGAAAGTGATATGTTTAGGTTGGAGTACTGTCAAGTTCGAAACCTATGTAGATCTGATATTAATAAAAATGGTATTATAAAAGGAAACTGGTGTATGCTTATACGGACTGTCCAAAAGTAACATACGTTTATGCTGGGTGAGATACTCACTCCACCTTCTAATCTGAAATTGGATGCATTGACAGGATCTGATAAGACCTTTTCATTATTTACAGCAGCACCCCAAATATCAAATACTGTTATGGTTGATACTTACCAGTTGGTAGCTAACATGGTGGAGAGGGAAACTGTGTTGAGACTGACCGAAAAACTGAAGCCTAGGGAGGAGGCAAGCTTTGGTCGAACATACTAGATTGTTTCTGGCTTTAACTGACATCATTTGTGGGATGTTTACAGACATATCTAATATATCTTTGTCTCAGACTTAAGTACCCGGAGAACAGACAGACACTGTAGTTAGTCCTTTTTTAATGGTGGCTATAGATAACTAGTATCTTACTATCACACTGTGAATCTTAATTGCACAACTTTATAAGTCTTTGAAAAAACAGTTGGGCATAAACTACTGGAGGATTTGGAAGACCTTGACCTACTAGCGCATAAACAACAAGGCTACATCTCAAACGTTCATGTCCGACGAGTTTATTTTTAGCGGCAGAAAAATGAGTGGGAGCTAAAGACAATAAACTGCCAGCTGATGTATTATTTTTTGACTTCATTATAACATTTGATGAGGTATCTCATTTCAACTTGCTAACTAAGCTGACTGATGTTGGCATGGATGTCAAAATCCAGGAGTGGTTCAAAGACCGTCTACATGATAAGAAGGAAGAATTCAGTGTAAGAGGATCATTCTGCGAATATAAACTGAATATTATTGAGGCTCTTCACTGAACCATATCAAGACTTCTATTTATAATTGAATTTGTCAGAGATGTTTAATTCACCATCGTTGCTATTTGTAAATGGTGGTAAGTTCTAAATGGTTGTTCATAACACCGAATATAGATTAGCTTTTTACACTGACTTAAATGACCTAGTCATATAGTTTAAATGCCAGAATATGAAAATCAGCTCCAGCAGAAGTGCAGAAACACACTTTGACTGGAAACTTGACCACCGTAGCTCACTTTGTGGACCAATACTGCCTTGCCCATGAGAGAAAAAATCACCTCAGACTTATCGTTAGGTATGACTTGAAAACAATGGCATATTCTTACAAGATCACAGTTTAAGAATCTTAGGGTTCTGTTGTTTCTTTGAAACGCCTTTAAATTCTATGGTAAAGACACATTTAGGACACTATATAATACCTACGTATTACCTAACTTTGAATGAGTTAATGAACATCAGAACGAGACTTGGCACTACTGTGCAATGGTTCCAGTTACCACACTCCATATCAGCACACAAGGGTAGAAAGTAACAGGAGAACTAAGGGAAAAATTCATGAAAAGAAAACAATGAGATTCCGTATGAGGACCATTACGGGGATACATTTGCACCACTGCGAGCGATTCTGAAACAAATCATCTAGAGTAGTAGATCGGAAATTTCGGCTATCAAGCGGAAACCGACCAGGAATTCTACATTATTCACTGTGGATAAGAACATAAGTTGAATATGCCGTGAACTGATGCCATGTTTTAGTCTGGCCACATTTCATGTTTCCGCAGACTGAGATCAATACAATTAACGATGTGCAACAGAGCAGGTGGTGACAAAATATGAGCAACTTTGTCCCAGCCACTTGAGTTGATGAAGATTCACAAACTCATTAAGTGACTTTCCTCTTCTTCCCGAAATTCTGTTCCCGATTTATAAGTTATTGATGTGGTAACCGCTCAGTAAAATACCAGTGCTGTGAGTAAGACTCTGGTTGAACATCTGAAGCCTTCTCATGTCCATTACCTTTAATGGCCATATTTAACAGCCATATGATAGAATACTGCATAACGGCAGCTAGCCCCATATTTGACAAGGTAGCAGACACTCCAGGACAAATGAGACGGGTAAGTGCTTTGTTAGTTTCGTGATATTCCCACCTGACCTATTAAAAGCGGTTGGAAAGTTTGAACTTTTTCTCAGTCAGTATCGTATTCTAGGAAAAAGGGCTATCTTATTTTGCACATAATATCTTGAATAACAATTCGTGTAATGACCTCTGAGATCTTTCTATCCATTCTAGGCTGATAATCTAAAAGTTCATTGATGAAAGGTTCAAAAACCATGGTTAACTAAACTGCGAGTGTAACTCAGATTCTTTCACGTGGCAGTCAACGATCGGGACTTGTTTTGAACGCTAATGATACCTACTTCTTTTTATGAACGCTTTTAAACAGAAACTGGATGTTCACAAAAGTTTTTACAACAAATGACTGTGCAGGCTGTATGATCCACTCCCCAAACATTGTAGATTGAAGCTTTAATGTTCTATATCTGGAGAAACACGTAAATGTGTTTTGAACTTGTTGGAAAGAATTCAGAAGACAACGTCAAATGTTATCGGTAAAAACACAAGCAACTCCACTGTTGGCTGAAGCCTTATAAGAGAGATGCAATTTTTAAAGCGCTACTGAGTGCAATTATCGATGTAGACCATCAATCCAGAAGTATTTTTACACTTTTTGAAGACTATAGAAAGCTTCCTTAATCAACAACTAAGAAAAAACCCTTCACCCTTATGATAATGTAATTAAAAAGCAAATAAGTTTTAAGTTCTGAATCCAAAGAAAATTTCTTTCTTCTCTTGTCAGCAAAATATATCTAAGATGAAGTGTTATGCAGGACAGAAGTTAAGTAAAAGTCATTTGATGTGTATCAGTGTTCCAAGACTGGGAATACCAAAGCACCACATTTCAACTACTTATTATTCTGATGAGTGCATTTAGTATATCTTACTCCAGAAACATTTTCCTGGATTAAAATTAGTACCAAATACGTGTAAAAGCCACCTGAGGGCTGGAAGGATGCCATAATAAGTCTTATATTTACGTGAGTTAACAGACGACTGGTTATCAGTTATGAGCGTTTTAATCTCATTAGTATCGCGGTTAAGATAATTTAGAAGATAATATATGATGAGATACTTAAGCACTAAGAATCACATAACGTACTGACATAGGAAAAATATGGCTTCCAGGCTGAACTCTCTTGTTTGACAAACCAAGGGACTTTGGGTTAGTGGCTTAAAGAGGTGGTAGTCATCTACTAGGCCACGGATTAGAGCTTTGCTTTACCTTCCATGGTCCGGGAAGCCTGGTAGTATTACTATCCCTCACATAATAGGTATGGTCAGTTGTCTGCTGCAAGGATGTGCATAAGGTATCTGGGTGCCTTTCGTTTGACAAACCCAATTCTTCTGGTAGTTAAGGACTGGACTGAAGCTAGGGGCGATAACCTCCGTAGAAGTGGTGTTTATTGACCTGAGCAAGGCTTATGAAAAAGTATCATACGCAGGGTTGTTGAAAAAGCTTTGCATGCGCGGTATTAACAATTCTCTTGACTCCTAGATCAGGGAGTACTTCATGAGAGAAAGCAAAGAGTAAGAGTCACTGGGATACCGGCTGAGTGGTAACCTGCCACCAGTGGTGTTCATTAGGGCAATATACTTGGACCATTGAACTTCCTTCTTTACGCCAATGAAATATCAAAGATGCTTAGGCTATCATAGTTGCTACTTTTCGTTGATATCAGGATATGGATGACTATCCATAATGGTGACGGCAGGTTTGCAGTGCAAGCCGGTATAGAAAAACTGGTCAAATTGTTTTAACGAGGAGACCTGGAAAGTTACTCCAATAAAAGTATTGTAATGTTCAGTTGGTATGACTTTTCTGGTGGCTACTCAATAAATGGTCGACTAATAACTCGGGTTTCAAAAAAAGGACTTAGAAGTTATCTTTAGTCATCTTTGAAGATAGCTACTAACTTTAATGCTTCTACAGCAAAGTCTTTTCTCATTCTTTGACCGCTTCATAGGGTATTCGAATGCCTACATGAGAAGATGCTCAGGGTCCCGTACCCCAAATAGCTAAGACTTCATTTAGAGTACTGCATACAAGAGGGTAGTTCACGCTTCAAGAAGGAAGCTGATACACTGAAAGGGGTTGAAAGGGTAGCCATTAAATTAGTGATAGTTCTTGCATACTTATCCAAAGAGCGATTAATAAGGCTAAGCCTTTTTCTCTTATCCCTTAGTAGAAAGAGAGGCGACCTGATTTTGAACTTTCACGTTCTTAATAATGATTTAAGTGCTGATCACTAGAGTTTCATCACTGCTTTCAAGACAGTTTGCTTTTGAGTGCATAAAAAAGTCTTAAGGCCGTGGTTGAGCCATATCCCAGTGGAGTAATAGTACTTCCATAGGATAGTTAATGATGTAATTAACCAATCCAATACTGGAATTAGTTACCGAAACAAGTGAAATTAGCTCTGTCGGTGATCGTTTTTGAAGCAAAACATGACTCTGATAGGGTAAACTATTGCAAAGACTAACATAGAATAAGAGCCTACTTTTTTCTTTCACCGAAGACATCTTCAATATATGTATACATATGTGTATTTATGAACCACCTCAGTCCATGAAAAATAAAATAATTTCAAAACAAGGTTATGTAAATTCCCCCACATTTCTAAAGAAATGCAATAAGAAGCACCTATTTTCCCGTAATGTACACGCCTTTCACCCAAAATTATTAAAGCTTCTACAAAATATAATTGAACATACACAAGATAATCATATCATTATGTCTTTCCGAATATCGACTTTCGTGCAGTAAAGTACAAGGTTTACAAGTTAACATGAAAGTAAACAGTTGACATACTTTGAAAGAAGGCCGCTAAGCTTGAAAAATCGATGTTTCATTTGAGCCACTTGAACATTGCTTAACTTTCCTTCATGTCCGAGGTTTTCCACCGACGTAATAGCTGGATAGATGCTAACAACAGAAGAATCTTCACAATTGTTTTGAAAACTATCAATCTTGTCAAATTCTTCATCGTCTACACGAAGCAAAGGGTCTTTAAAACAATCAGGCTTAGCAATGAGAATTTTATCATCGTAAGAATCTGTGAATACGAGTGTCAGGAGAAAACAAGCGGTGTACTTATTGGTTCTTCTGGAGTTTCTTCACGGGCAGGTTCACATTTTGTTGTGCTTAATATCTCTGAAGACTGATTTTCATCTTGTTCACTCATTTGAATTACCGCTGGTGCTTAATTGAAAAGTGAACTGCCGTTGCCATAGTGATATTGCGCAACGCAAAATAAATAAGTTAGACCTTTTTCATTTTCATACTTATAATAAGTTTAAAAGGAAGAGTTTTATATTTCCTATTACTTCTTTGTTTTAGTTGTCATGAGTCACCTAAAGTTGGTTGTCCTTGGTCCAAATGAGGTTATATCTTATAAATTACTATGCAGTTGTTACTATTGTAGAGTGGAAAATCATATATATGTAACTTTCTGTCCGAAACAGTAGATCAAATTACAGGTGACTATTATCCAACGAGCGGTGTCAGGTTTATCTGTTTATTTTTAGTTTCCTCATATTTGCAGGATTTTAGAATATGAACAGAAACTCAAGGTAAAAGGGAAACCTGTTAAGATTGAAGTTGAGTTATGGGATGTTAGTGGAGACAGAAAGTAGTTATTTGGCTGACAACTATCTGTTTTTCCCAAGGTACGAAGCTTGTTGGCCAGCTATTTTTAAAGGAGCTCATGGGGTGGTATTCGTTTATAATCCGGATAAATCTCATCATGAGGAAGAACTAAACGAATGGTATTTGCCAATTCATTGTCTTAACACTTCAGGTATCAAACGTTTCCTCAAAGTCTAGGTCTGAAAGACCAGCAGTTCTGCGTTATTTGTTATAAAAAACCAGACTCATCGGACAAAGACATAGTTTCATTGCGTTAGTTAAATAAATGACGTTTACTTCCCTAATGACAGCCTCTGTTTTTCATAGGTTTTTCCAGTTTCGTTGTAACATGCCAAAAGATGGTGAAAAGCTTCGGGAGCAATTCGGTAAATTTGTTTCTCAAATAGCCTGGGGGAGATTAGAGGCTAGTGAACAGGAAGAACTCAACATTATGAATTCATAAAGATTCATTATGATGGATGTCAGTAGTTTTATATGTCCCTCGAGCTGTTTAGTCAGCCTTTATTTGTAAACATTAGTATATTAACCGTCTTCTAATAAAAATGAGTGAGTACACTTTATCAGTTTACAATAAATTTTTCCTTACGGGTGGGTTATAATATGCTCTTTGGTAGGGTTTATTTGATGCCATTTAGACAGTTTTAGTCTGAATTAATGACATTTAAACATTCTGCTCATGTATGTTTGACTGTTTAGTCGATATTATTGTAAGAAATCGACACTCACAGATACGTCTGAAACATGTGTCGCATACATTATTAATGTATGTTGTGAACTATAGTGGTTGACCTTTTCATACTTAGACCTGATTACAGGAAGGGCAAAAGATTTTCATTTCCGAGAAACCAAAACCTCTCTTGGTCTATTCTCACTAGGATTGTTGACCAAGAAGACTACTTTTATGCCATACAGCTAAATCTTTAAGTATAAGTATTTACTAATCTAACAATTCGGGATAGACTTCAAACTACTTGTGGATTATTTTTTGTATATAGAAGAATCCTGATCACTTATTACCATTACAAAGTTCTTCATAGTACAGTCGAAATTTGCTGAACTTTATAAGTTCCACGTATGTTACTCAGAGATATTCTCCGAAAATCATTCGAAGTCTGGTGGGCAGCTCGTGAAAGAAGTTTAGGTTGTCGTAAATTATCTTATTTCGTTTTGATTTCGTCACATCACTTGTCAAGTGTGTGTCTCAGTCTGAGCCACTTACTTTGAATACGTTTCAAGTTACTAGTGACTTTTCAGTTGTACGTACACTAGTTTGTTATATACTGTTATGCATAAGTAGTGTAGATGAAACGAAATTTTGCACATGACAAGGATTCAGTTGTCAAACACTTAGAAACTGATAATCATGCGCTATCAGGTTAAGGATATGCCTAAACAAATATGGCTCACTTCAGATCCTGCCGCTTTTTATCCATTTAGCACTAATCTTAAGGTGTTCTGGTTTCTGCCATGCTTTTTCATGTGGAAGATCATATAAAATGGTTCACTAGTATTGTTACTGCACACAGGTTGGTCTTTGTCCTAGCTTTTTGATAAGCATTATGATCTATGCAGAAAGACAGAAAAAATCAAAGTGGGACTTTGCACGTAAGTGTTTTGACTCAAGTCCTCACACTTCTCAGTAGTAGACAAAGACTAGGTGGATAGAAAAAGACTTATATCAAAGTAGACAAACTTGTGTCAGAGAATAAACAACCTGAAGACAAAGGTTAGTGTAAATATTCAAGCTTTAGAGGATGTCAAGGAGTGAATTCATCTGCACCCTTATGACCTACTTCCAGCCATGTAACCAAGAGTCATCAACCACTGATACCTTTCGTCTCGGCGACCCCAACCAAGCAGTCTACATCGCTGACACACAACTCAGACCAACAGTTAGAGACTTCGAAAACCGGTGCCGTCTTGGTTTGGCTACTATGAACCTTATTCAACTTCGGGGTAGGCAATGGCTCGGCATTCGTATTATATATCCAAGCCATCTCAGTTGGCTGCGGTTCGCAACCTCACCAATCTACCTAACCATCTTGCCTAGTACTCTTCGACATCGCTCACATAGTGATTTCACCATGTGCGAGCAGTCTTACGAAGAGATACATAATCAAAACCCTATAACCATTTCATGTCTTCTACTCTCGGTGGCCATATCTCACAGCTGTATAACAACAGAAAGAACTGCACTGTAGTTTACTTGTCATTTGGTAGAGGTATCTTGGTATCTGAAATACTTCAGGTATCTTGCTAGTCGGCGCCACAGGTAGCCCAAGTCGACAAATACCAAACAGGCCTTCTGTATCCGTGAATTTATGCGACTTGTTCTTACTTGGCATTTCAGGTGACTCTAAAACTAGGCATATAATAGGCGTCAATTCAGATGCGTCTAAATTATTTAGTTCGGCGCTAGTTTTAATAGTGTCTATAGCTTTTAAACATCGTTTCTGAGATATATAGTGTACAGAAATGTTCGCATTATGGTTTTTTGAATACACTGGGCTTGTGAGACATAACACTTGGGTTTATAAACAATGGTATATTCAACCACAGCAGTTTTCTACGTGATATTTTAATGGTAAGACAAACAGCGACTGACTTAGTTTCCATTTATCTTCTAGTATTAACTAGTTTATTTTCAGTTATTCGCCAGATGACTTTCCTATTCTTCTAAAAACACGACAGTTTATTGTTGACTACGTTTTACTTGGTGAGACACACATAAGTTTCTTATAAGCCCCTTTTTATGAAATGAGGAAAGATGTCGATAGTACTTCTAGCTGTCAGACTTACTTCTAGAAAAGCTATATGCTATTGTTGCAACCTGACCAATAGTTTATTTTGCTATTGACTATAGGACTAATTCCATGCGAGATGGTTGCCAAATGTAGGAATTATGTCCCTTTCAGTTACATCAGAATCTGGATATTCATACTTAGGTGGTAAATGACATTCAAAATCTTTGATGTAATCAAATACTGAAAGTCCATGGGCAACCATTCTACTTATTTTGTCAAGACAGATATTCCTTTGTTGTGCAGTTAGTTCCTGTTGAAGCTCAGCCGGGTGACTGAACGATTTTCACCAAGCCTTATCTACGAATTCTTTTCACTGATCATTCTACTACATATCATTCTTCATATTGGCTTGATATAGCCTGATTTATGCGTATGTGGAGGCTTGTACAGTAACCTTCAGCTTCCACCTTTAATGATTTCTCAGTTAGATAGTAATGAACAAAAGGTATATGATAACTGAAAGGTGTATTTACAACGTCAACAATATGTACAAAATACAAGATTTATATATATTACCATAGCCTTGGCTATTTCCAGGCCTTTATAAATTTAAATTCTGTTGGTTTTTCATCTCTTCAAACAACCTGATACTTATAGGTTGGTTCACGTATTTTTTTCTCAAAAATTCGAAACAAAGCTTTTGATTGACAAAGGCTTTAATGGTTCATGGCTACTTATGAGGATTTTGGTAATCTTATTCCGCACCACAAGACTTCTCCCTTGAAATAGAGGCTGATAGTACAATGATGTCTGTTTATTGGCTAGTAACGTTTGCTTGCTCCAGACAAATTATTCCTGAATGGCCATCTGATGAGTCTGTGTTGTAGCATAACCTGAAGTAACTAAATTGCATTTAGAAATAAGAGGAATGATTTCCTGACACTTTGGAGAAGGGTATTCGATGAATCTTTTCTTACCCACTTCAGAAAAATAGACTGATAGTTATTTGCAAAAGTATTTGCCACAGCTTTGGTTGTCGAATTCCAATATTGCACGGCACTGAAACTGCAAATTTACTTAAGTTCATCCCAACCAGTTGTATGGAGTTAAGTATTGCCCCAGTAAAATGGTTACATAAGTTTGTCAACCTCAATGAACTATATTCACTTAGGCTTTTTTGAGTAGAGAGATGTTGTATTCAGTTTGACCCAGAGTAATCTAGGTGTAGTTGGTTGGAATGATAAGGTACTCCACTAAGCAATAAATCATTATATTCAGCACCGCAGTATACTATCCCGATGAAATGCTTCTGACCGCCTAATGCACCTATGAATTTGGATGGATTCGGGGTTTTCTGGTTACCTGCTAGTTAGTAGATGTGATGTCTGAAGTGGAGCTGGTTTGCAGACTATCCCGTTGTCTACTTTCTCGTATGAACAAAAATTGGTTTTGATATAATAAACCACTACCGTGCCAAGTAAGTCTCTCATTTGATGTGTGTGCAGACGCTGCGAACCCCTTTGGGTATGTGTGTATTTGTTGACATTGATGACTAGGCTTGCCCTTGGGCTTTTCTGAGAACTTGTGGGCATTCACTGTGAGATATGATTGTAGAAAGGCTGGATGGCACCAAACATGGTATATCATTTTGCAAACCTTCTGTTATTACTGATTGATGGATTTCATGAACATGAACTGACCCAATGTCCATATTATTTATTATTTCAGGATGAGTAGTGAAAGGATTACTATCATCCTCATTCGTCACTGCACGATGAACGGTATTATTAGGCTGCTTTTTATCTTAAAACTTTACTTGAATTTATCTTGAAAGTGAAGATTGCCATCAAACTGAATGAATCTAACTAGCCGAATAGTTTTATGGTCACCGGTGGCTGCTTGTTGACCATTGTGGTTCAAACTTAGATGAAATGTCTAGCCAACTATGAAGAATTTGAGTTAACAATAAAGTCATAACATTCTCCTCTCTGTGTCTAATTTCTTGAGTTAAACCACAGGAAGCCGAGTTCAATATGGTGCTAACCATCAATTAACTGATTACTGTGATAAGAAGGAGTATTACAAACTATCTGGTAGGGTTCTTAAAATGTTAGAAACTAATGCTTTGACTCAAAGTCGATATGTGGTGTGAATATGAAAACTGAAAGACAGACAGACATTCAGTGAGGAGTCTCTCTTCTCACATCATTCTCAAGCTTTACAACCACATATATAGATCTTATATTCACAAGGTAACACAGAAAGCTTTCAATGCTTCATTCAATAAATATTTTTGGACTAGATTCAATTTTGACTATAAATCAGGAGATAGGGGAAAAATTACCTAGTGTTTCAAATAGTAATGATAAGAAGAGTTACGGGGTAAAATGATGCAATGTGGTGAAAGGGACTATTGAATGTGTGATGAGAGATCAGGATTATAAGGGTTGAAGAATGCAGTGTGTAAGAAAATGTGAAAGAGAAGATTTTGTGAGAGTGAGATATTCCTATACGTCATGTATATTACAACTTGAGTGAGTAGAAAAACTGCTTTCGGATGTAGAGTAGAGTTGAGTATTTAAAATATTAATTGTCATGTCTTCCGTGGTTTGAAGAAGTTTCAGGCGTACAGCCTTCTTCCAGGTTGCATGAACTCTATGCATGACACTGAGGTTGTTTTGAGCATTCACCCAACGGTCATGATCGATGAAATATTTTAGAGCAGAGATGAGAAATGCTGCTATTTCTCCTTTGTGGAAACATGTTGGAAAATGTGTTTGTAAAGCGAATGTTGAGTATGCATGGTGAAGACACCTTACTTCAC